CCCCCGGGTTTCGGGGCGGGGTCCCCACCCGGGGGGAAGGGGGCCCTGGCCCCCCCCCCCCCCAGCCTGCAGAAGGCCCGCACTCGCCGCACTACGGTACGCTCTTCATCCGTAACCTTCCCCCAAGCTCTCCCTGGCCGCCTGCACCTCGCCCCCCCCCCAACCAGGGAGAACCCGCCCCCGCCCCCGCCGTGACCACCTGGCCGCGCACCGGCCGTGCGTCCCGGTACGCACTACGCACACACCCGCGCTTTTTGAAGGCTTTCCACTTGCCGGCCGGATATTGGCTCGCGCTGAGCGCGTGCGCGCGGCTGACGTGCGGAATGTCACAGTGCGGTTGCGGATGTAACTCGTATCTCGAGCGTGGGGGTTGCTCGTACGGCGCGATATCTCTTTTAATTGAAGATCGCGGAGTAGGGCGTTTTAAAATTGATTCTTCTGCGGAGGCGGGCGTTGCTGGCCCTATACAAAGGTGTTGGAGAAAAGTTTTTATGCGGGGCGGGCCTTATAAAGCGGAAGAAATACGGAGGGTGCTTTGCGCGGGCCAATCATGTTTGCGAGGGCTGTGACGAGAATCTCACGGCTGCAAATGGGATGTAAAAAAAAGTGGGGCCCAATGAGATTCCGGGGGTGCGGGCGCTGTGTCCCACGCTGATTCGCGGCTCGGGGGCGGCGATGTCGCTGTGCAGCCAGCAACGACGCAAAGTGATCGCGGGGGCCGTGGAAGATATGTGTGGCGTGTGGGAAGAAAAGGGTGGCACGGACGGTTTGGCGGGGATTTTTTGCTGGGAAAAGGGTGCGTTTTAGAGGGTTTCGAAATCGTGTCTATCGCGGCGGTGTGACGCGGCAGGCGGTGGACGAGAAAAAGTCGGACGGAGGTGGGAGGTGGACGGAGGGGGGTAACTTGGATATCTTACCCGCCAAGATTTTTTTGTGGAGCATGTAACTACAGGGCATCTCTCTGGGCGGGCACTCGTGGGCATACAGCTGCGATGCGAGCATGGAAAGGCACAGGTTGTTTTTATTCGGCGCTGCGTCGTGTCATGGCCCATACAGTAGCGATGGGGCGACAGGGGAGAGGTGGTGGGTTGAAGCAATCACGGCGGCGCGGCGATTGTACAGTATCCGCGATGCAATCTCCATAGGCGTGACGGGGAGTCGGCCCAGATATAAGACAGAGAGAGAGAGAGCGCCCGTCACGTTGGCGCCACAACCGCACTCCCCTCGGGCCCTCTCTGTCTGTCTTATATCTGGGCCTCGATCGCGGTAAAAGCGAAAGTTTTGGGTGTTTGATAGGCGTTGGGAAACATTTTCTGTTTTTGGTAAAATTGTTGGTTGTTCCTCGAAATACGAATTTTTTTTCTATTTTAGAAAAACCCATGTAATGTTTGAATTTTTCTGCCCCTGCGAATAATACAATGCTGGACGACGTGTACAGGATTATATAATATATATATATAATATAATAACATTATAAAATACTGTGCACGTCGTCCAGCACACGTGTACGGTATATACTCACAGCCGCTGATGTCGAGGGAAGTGGCCCGACATCGATGCAGCGAAGGACAAAAGTGTTGATGCGATAAGAAAGTCGTGTTTCAGGCTGTAAGGCGTAAATCCTGGAACACGAATGGTGGTGAATAGCAGGCAAAAAAGCTAGTGTTGATGACAATAAGAGATGGGCGACGAAGAAGCGACAGAGAGAAGCGACAGAGAGAAGCGACAGAGAGAAGCGACAGAGAGAAGCGACATAAAGTAAATGCTGTAATGGTACAGTACCCTTGGTACTGTAGTAGAATTTGCACGGATGGGAAGGAATGAAACGAGTTGGCGTTGGCACGAGCTGATCTCAGCTGACTCTCAAGAGTCTCCCACTACAAGCCAAGAGGTGGCAATTAGATAGGAGAACAGAAGTTGATCCAATTCGGGAGTGCAGTATTCGCGTGTGGATTGGGCCGTGCACATGCACAATTCAAGGCGCTGACGGGATAGCCCAGCCTTTACAGTACACGTTGGCGCACCGCACGCGGTCATGCACGGTGTGATCGGGCGCGGCGCGGGGGCCTCCCTTCTTCGACGAGGCAACTTTACAGTTGCCAGGCAGCAACGAGCGAAAGGCAGCGACCGGCGCCCACCGTTGCGGCAGCTGCTGCCAAGCGCGTCGGGGGCACAGTCCACCTTGGCGGCGCGCCGGGCCTGTGGGATTTCGTGCGGAATTCCTTTGAAGAATTAGAAAATTCGCTGCCGTCCGGCCGCCGACGTTGACACCCGCGGCACGCCGCCAGCGCCGCCAGCGCCGCTGCCGCTTGTCCGTCCCACCCGCGCGCTGTATGCATACAGCGCGAAAACCCCGCCGCCCGCGCGCGGAGAGAAGAA